CCCCCCCCCCCCGCATCATTCCCTTTGGGCGCCTGAGTCCCTGAGTTTGAATCCTCAACCAGGACTCCCCCGCCGCCCCTTCCAGAGGCCCTCCCTCGGAGCGACCCTCCCACCACCCTGGGAGGTCCCCGCTTCCCTCAGCTTCCAGAAACACCGCTAACCGACCCCTCCAGTCCTCTCAGGAAGGCTACCAACCCCGGGCACGTAATTCCCGCCTCCGCGCTTCAAATCCGACCCTCCGGCTCCGCGAGGGCGGCGAACGCCTCAGGCCAGACGCCCCCAACAGCCCCTCAGCCCCGCGAGCCGCGCCGGCCCTGACCGTTTCTGGGCCTCCAATCCCCACAGACGGATCTGCCGGTCATACTGCGCCGCCTCCTCCTCGCTGATGCCGCCGCTGGCCTCTTCCTTCTCCACCATGGCGCCGGCTCCAGCCGCCTGCACTCGGGTCCTGCCCACGGCAACCGCCCGCCGGCCCCACGCGCCGCCAACCGCCGCCGGCCGCGCGCCCGGGCCGCGTCTGCGCCTGCGCCAGGGAACGCGCCTGCGCAGAACCTCCTCCACGGCCCGGCCCTCCCCTAGAGCCTGGGACCGCGCGAAGCTCGCCCGCCTGAAAGGCGGGCCGGCAGGACTGTCGGCCACGTGACCGGGACTCCAGCCAATCCTGGCCCAAGGATGGCGCGATTCCCCGCCTCCCTTTCTTCCCCCCCCCCGGCCCCGCGGGGGGAAGGGGGGGGGGGGGGGGGGAGGGGGGTTTTTAGTTTTTATTTATTTATTTTTTACTTATGGGGCTTTTTAAATCAGCAGATATTTATCTAGCACCTGCTGAAATCCCGGTAGTGGAGGCGTTGGGCAATAGAGCAGCGAATAAAATAGAGCCCTGCCCTCAGGCGGCTAACGTTCTTTCGAGGAGAGCCCAAAGACAAATAGAAATCAGACCGTGAGAAATGCTGTGGAGAAAAATAAGCCCGGATGGGACCACAGGGTTCCAGGAGTGGCCAGAGAGAAGCTTCTCGCAGAAAGGGGATATTGAACCGAGAGCTGGAGGGACTGAAGAAAACAAACGGCGATGGAGCATTTCTGGTCAGGGCAGACAGCAGGTGCAAAGGCCCTGAACCTGGAATGTGCTAGCATAGCTGAGGAACATTGGAGAGGGCAAGGTGGCTGGAGCAGAGTGAGAGGATGGGCAGTGGTAAGAGGTGAAACATAGATGAAGCAAGTGGGGCATCCTGAGGGACCTTGTAGGCCTGGTGCTAACTAAAGTGTATTTTAAGCAAGGTGCCTTTTTATTATTCATTCAACAAATACTTATTGAGCATCTGTTATGTGTTAGCCATTGATCTCAGTGCTGGGATAGAGCACTGAAAAAAAAATAGCTGTTTTCTCATGGAGTTTAAATGGGTTTTCAGTGAATTCTTTCTCTTCTTTTTCGGGTTTGTTTGAAAGAGAGAGAGAGAGAAAGACGGTGGGGGGGGGGCGCCTGGGTGGCTCAGTCAGTTAAGCATCTGACTTCGGCTCAGGTCGTGATTCTCACTGTTTGCGAGTTCAAGCCCCGAGTTGGGCTCCACGCTAACTGTGCAGAGCTTGCTTGGGATTCTCTCTCTCTCTCTCTCTCTCTCTCTCTCTCTCTCTCTCCGCCCCCCCGTCTCTCTCTCTCTGCCCCTCCCCCACTTGCACACACAACTCTCTCTCTCTCTCTCTCTCAAAATAATAAACTTTAAAAAAAATTTTTTTTAAAAAGAGAGTGCACAAACCGGCAAGTGGGGGAGGGACAGAGAGAGGAGAGAGAGAGAGAATCCCAAGCAGGCTCTGTGCTATCAGCGGGGAGCCCAATGCAGGGCTCGGTCTCAAGAACCATGAGATTCATGACCTGAGCCGAAATCGAGAGCTGGACGTTGAACCCACTGAGTCATCTGGGCTCGCCTATGGGAATTATCTTTCTAATTTTTTTTTTATTTTTTTCAACGTTTATTTACTTTCGAGACAGAGAGAGACAGAGCATGAACGGGGGAGGGTCAGAGAGAGAGAGAGAGGGAGACACAGAATGTGAAACAGGCTCCAGGCTCCGAGCGGTCAGCACTGAGCCCGACGCGGGGCTGGAACTCACGGACCGCGAGATCGTGACCTGAGCCGAAGTCGGACGTTCAACCGACTGCGCCACCCAGGCGCCCCTATCTTTCTAATTTTTATGAGATTAGTTAGGTTCTTTAATAGAACTATTTCAGGGGCGCCTGGGTGGCGCAGTCGGTTAAGCGTCCGACTTCAGCCAGGTCACGATCTCGCGGTCCGTGAGTTCCAGCCCCGCGTCGGGCTCAGTGCTGACCGCTCAGAGCCTGGAGCCTGTTTCACATTCTGTGTCTCCCTCTCTCTCTGCCCCTCTCCCGTTCATGCTCTGTCTCTCTCTGTCCCGAAAGTAAATAAACGTTGAAAAAAAATAAATAAAAATAAATAAACATACGCCAGGGGCGCCTGGGGGGCTCAGTTGGTTGGGCGGCCAACTCTTGATTTCAGCTCGGGTCATGATCTCGCAGTTTGGGAGTTTGAGCCCCGCGTTGGGCTCTGCGCTGACAGTGTGGAACCTGCTTGGGGTTCCGTCTCTCCCTCTCTCTCGAAATAAGTAAATAAACTTTTTTAAAAAATGGACATACCCCTGCTTTATGTAGGAACAGTCACAAGACAGTGGGAGGAGAGAAAACAGTCCCGTATATATAAATAGAAACTTCATGAAGTGCTGTGAAGGAAAAGAAGAGAGAGCTATAAAAGTGTTTTTGACTTAGTGTTGGAGTCAGAAAAGTATGTCCTGAGGGGCGCTTGGGTCACTCAGTCGGTTGAGCTTCCGACTTTGGCTCTGGTCATGATTTCACAGGTCATGAGTTCGAGCCCCATGTCAGGCTGTGTGCTGACAGCTCAAGCCCGCTTAGGATGCTGTGTCTCCCTTTCTCTGCCCCTCCCCACTCACACTTTGTGTGTGTGTGTCTCTCTTTCTCTCTTAAAAATAAATAAACGTTTTGAGAGACAGAGAGTGAGTGGGGGAGGAGCAGAGAGACAGAGGGAGACACAGAATCCTAAGCAGGCTCCAGGCTCCGTGCCGTTAGCACAGAGCCAGATGTGGGGCTTGAACCAGTAAACCTGAGCCCTAGTCGGATGCTTAACCCACCGAGCCACCCAGGTGCTGCCCCCTCTTTATTTATTTATTTATTTTTTATTATTTTTTAAGTTTAAATTTTTTTTAACGTTTATTTATTTTTGAGAGAGAGCACATGAGCAAGGGACGGGCAGAGAGAGAGGGGGGACACAGAATCTGAAGCAGGCTTCAGGCCCTGAGCTGTCAGCGCAGAGCCGGATGGGGGGCTCGAACTCACCAACCAGGAGATCGTGACCTGAGCCGAAGTCGGACACCGACTGAGCCACCCAGGCGTCCCCACTGAATTCTGTGTTACGTGAATATCTCAGTAAAGCTTTAAGTAAAGAAAGACAAGAAATGGAAGCTTCCACTTTCCCTCCCTTGGGACACTTGATTTTAAGCTCAGCCTCCTTGCTAGGAAAAGCCAAAACAGCCCAGAGAGAAGCCTTCGTGGAGAAGAGCCAAAGTTCCTGACCCTCAGGCAGGCGACAGCACCAGGCGCCGGCCAGCACCAACTCGCTGGCCATGTGAGTGAGCCATCTTGGAAGTATATCCTCTGCCGGCTGGTCAAGCCACCCCGGAGGGAGCAGATACGAGCCATTCCTTCCAAGCCCTGCCCAAAGTTCTGATCCGTAAGCAAAATCAAGGACCGCTGTCGAATCATACCACAAAGTTTTGTGATCACTCGTTACACAGCATTAGATTACCTGGACACTGCCCTCCACCAACTCTCTTCACACTTTCTTTTTTCTCCATAATGTTTCCTTCTCTCTCCCTCCCCCTGGCGTGCACCCTCTCACGGGGTCAAACAGGCGCTCTCTCTATCTTCCTCTTTCCTTCACCCCATTCTCTCTCTCTAACTCTCTTTCCCTTTCCCTGCCAACACTCTCCGTCTTTCTGATTTTAGTCTCTCTGACGAGCTCATTCTTTTCTGTATTCTCTGAAGACGTTCTCTGGGCCCAGCCCTGTGCGAGGGGACACATAAACCCTGGGGGGGATATGTTGTCCTGTGGCATCACAGAAGATCTCTCAGAGGAAGTAATGACCGAGTGGAGATGCGGAGAATGATGACAAGTTAGGTGACCGAGCCATGGTGACTGAGGGGGATAAAGGCGTCAATTAAGAAATCGGATGGTGGGGGCACCCAGCTGGCTCAGTCAGTAGAACATGTGACTCTTTATCTCTGGGTTGTGAGTTTGAGTCCCACGCTGGATGTAGAGATAACTTAAAAATAAAATATTTTTATTTTTTTTAATGTTTATTTATTTTTGAGAGAAAGAGACAGAGCATGAGCAGGGGAGGGGCAGAGAGAGGGAGACACAGAATCCGAAGCAGGCTCCAGGCTCTGAGCTGTCGGCACAGAGCCCAACATGGGGCTCGAATTCACCAGTCTTCCAGCTGTGGGATCATGGCCTGAGCCGAAGTCAGCTGCTTAACCGACTGAGCCACACAGGCACCCCAAAAATAAAATCTTAAGCAAGAAAAAGAACCAAATCCTGAGTTGCCTTTTTTTTTTTTAATGTTTATTTATTTTTGAGAAAGAAAGACACAGCGTGAACTGGGGAGGGAGACACAGAATCCGAAGCAGGCTCCAGGCTCCCAGCTGTCAGCACAGAGCCCGATGCGGGGCTTGAACTCACAAATGGTGAGATCATGACCTGAACCGAAGTGGGTTGCTCAACCAAGTGAGCCACCCAGGTGACCCTTGTCCTTTTTTTTAAGCCCTGAAAATCTATTTGTTAATTACAATATGTGACCGTGGTACTTTGAGGCAAATAGAGAATATAAAACATCAGTATCCTGAACGCTAAAGAAACAAGTCCAGAGTGAACATCACTTTGCTTAGAATGATTTGAGGCTGGAACATCTGGGTGGTTCAGTCGGTTAAGCATCTGACTCCGGCTCAGGTTATGATCTTATGGTTTGTGGGTTCAAGCGCCTCATTAGGTTCTGTGCTGACAGTTCAGAGCCTAGAGCCTGCTTCAGATTCTGTGTCTCCCTCTCTCTCTGCCCCTCTCCTTCTCACCCTCTGTCTCTCTCTGTCTCTCAAAAATAGATGTTAAAAAAAAAAAGAAAGAAAAGAAATGAGAGAGTTTGGGAAGTACACGTCTCTTCAAATCTGTATTGTTTCTTCCAAATATCGCTTGGCCCCCTAGGAAAGTCCGTTTTCTAAACATGACCTTACCCCTTATCCTAATCCAGAGGATGAGACAAGGATCTAGATGGCTTGAAGTTCAGAAACAGAATGAGAATAGTGGACACTATTTGGTAGCTTTTATTTTATCACGATCTTAAAAAAAGTTTAATGTTTATTTATTTTTGAGAGAGACAGAGTAGGGAAGGGACAGAGAAAGAGGGAGACACAGAATCCGAAGCAGGCTCCAAGCTCTGAACTGAAGGCACAGGGCCTGATGCAGGGCTTGAACTCACAAACCGTGAGATCATGACCTGAGCCGAAGTCGGACACCTAATCGACTGAGCCACCCAGGTGCCCCACAAATTTTTTTAAGTACACCCAACGTGGGGCTCAAACTCACAACCCCGAGGTCAAGAGTCACATGCTCTACAGACTGAGCTGGCCAGGCAGCCTACAAATTTTTATTTTGGAGATTTTCAAGCTTACAGAAAAAATAGTCCAATGAATATTCATACATCCTTTGAATAGATTCATTAATTTGAAATTTTGGCACATTCTCTCTCTGTCATACACACACACGCTTACCCATATACTTTTTAGCTAAACCACTTTACAGTTCGTCCTTCCAGGTCTTTAAGTCAATGCAGGGAAAAATTTTGAGAACCAGTCGGCCAGATTCTCTCACACACTTCCTGCATATGAAATGCCAAATATGCACAAATCCCTTCAACCGAAAGATTAATTCCAGAGGTCTGAGCCACTTGAAAATGTCTATATTTAACTCCAAATATTCGCTGGGTTAAACGACGCCAATGAAGGAAACGATTATCGCAACAAGGGCATGCAGTACGTTCTCTTGATTAGCGCTGAGGCCGATTGCATTTTGCACAGATGGCTACAGCCGTGTCGATCTTCTATTCCCCATGCTTGATCTTCAGCAACCCCTCGACGCTACTCCCACCGAGAGGGTGCGGTGTGAACGCATCTTCATTTAGTTCATTATATCTTCAGTGACCCTATTTCCGAATAAGGTCACATTCTGAGGTTTCCGGAAGAACACGAATTGTGGGGTAGGCAAAAACTACTTAACCCAGTACAGGTATCAGTGCATATTCTTAAACATATAACGACATACGAAGAAATAACTGTACACGTGTGGAGCTAGCTAATTAGCTAGCTAGATAAAATAAATCTGGCGTTTGATTGAAAATAATTTGGCAGAGTTGGGGATGGTCAGTGGGTGGAAATAGGGCTTGGCTATGAGTTTATAATTCTTCTTTTTTTAACGTTTATTTTGAGAGAGAGAGAGAGTGCACGAGTGGGGTAGGGGCAGAGAGAGAAGGGAGACAGAAGCCCAAGCAGGCTCTGCATTGACCCTGCAGTGCCCAATGTGGGCCTGGAACTCACTAACCGTGAGATCATGACCTGAGCCCAAACCAAGAGTCACACGCGTGATCGACTGAGGCACCCAAGCGCCCCTGTATTTTTTTTTTAAGATTTTATTTTTATTTATTTATTTTTAATGTTTATTTATTTTTGAGAGAGAGAGAGCACAAGCAGGGGAGGTTCTGAGAGAGAGCGAGACAGAGAATCCGAAGCAGGGCTCCGCACTGACAACAGAGAGTCCGATCTGGGGTTCCGACCCACGAACTGTGAGATCGTGCCTCGAGCCGAAGTCAGACGCTTAAGTGACTGAGCCACCCAGGCACGCCAAGATTTATTTTTATTTTTATTTTTTATAATATACATCCAAATTAGTTAACACATGGTGCAACAATGATTTCAGGAATAGATTCCGTAAGCCCCTTCACCATTTAGCCCATGCCCTCCTCCCCCAACCCCTCCAGCAACGCTGTTTGTTCTCTGTATTTAAGAGTCTCTTATGTTCTGCCTCCCTCCCTGTTTTTATATTATTTTTCCTTCCCTTCCCCTATGTTCATCTGTTTCGCATCTTAAAGTCCTCATAGGAGTGAAATCATGTACTTGTCTTTCTCTTGTCTATTCGCTTAGCATAGCACCCTCCAGTTCCATCCACGTAGTTGCAAATGGCAAGATTTCATTCTTTTTGATTGCCGAGTAATACTCCATTGTATCTATATACCACATCTTCTTTATCCGTTCATCCATCGGTGGACACTCGGGCTCTTTCCATACTTTGGCAATTGTCGATAGCGCTACTATGAACATGGGTGTGCCTGTGCCCCTTTGAAACAGCATACCTAGCAGTGCAATTGCTGGGTCGTAGGGTAGTTCTAATTTTAGTTTTTTGAGGAGCCTCCGTACTGTTTTCCAGAGTGGCTGCACCAGTTTGTATTCCCAGCCAAGATTTTATTTTTTTTAATTTTTATTTTATTTTTTTATTTTTGAGACAGAGAGAGACAGAGCATGAACGGGGGAGGGCCAGAGAGAGGGAGACACAGAGTCTGAAACAGGCTCCAGGCTCTGAGCTGTCAGCACAGAGCCCGACGTGGGGCTCGAACTCACGGACTGCGAGATCATGACCTGAGCCGAAGTCGGACGCCCAACCGACCGAGCCACCCAGGCGCCCGCCAAGATTTTATTCTTAAGTAATTTCTGCACCCAATGCGGGGCTCAAACTTCCAACCCCAGAAGCAAGTGTTGCGTGCTCCACCTTCCGAGCCAGCCAGGCGCCCCTCCCATCTTCTTTCTCAAGGCTGAATATGAATATGTTCCATTGTAAACTATAAACCACATTTTGATTATCCATCCATCCGTTCAGCAGACATTTGGGTTGCTTCTCAGCCTTCGACTAGTGTGAATAATGTGGCCATGCACATGGTGTCCAAATATCTCTCTGAGACCCTGGCGAGACCATGGGATATATACCCGAGGGGAGGGGGTAGTTTTGTTTTTTTCAGCCACAGCTAATCGGAACAGCTGCCCAAACTGAGACTTGGTCACTGAAAGGGGGTGGAGAGCAGTTAGTCAATAGATCAGGCCCCTGGGTTTAGGGATTACATAATTACCTCCACCCAGGTGGCAGCTCCACATTAACCACCTCGGTGGTTCTCAGCCCCACCTGCACATTAGGATTATCTGGGGACCGTTTCAGCAACTCTAGTGCCTGGGCCCCACCTTCCGAGACTGATTAATTGGTCTGGGGTGGAGCTGAGACACTGGGATTTTTACAAAATGCTCCCCAGATGATTCTAAACACAGTCAGGATGGAGAACTCTGTAACAAAGGCACGTGTGGTGTCTTATTCCAGTCTCAATTCTTTTCCCGCCCTTCCTGTTCGAACCGCCTAATTCTTAGGATTCTTTAAACGACATCGGATTAGGGGCACTGGCTGGCTCGGTCAATGGGGCCCGGCACGTGATCTCAGGGTTGTGAGTCCGAGCCCTACATTGGGGGTAGAGAGTACTTAAAAATAAAAATATTTAGGGGCGCCTGGGTGGCTCAGTCAAGTCGGGTGCCCGAATTCAGCTCAGGTCATGATCTCGCAGTCTGTGAGTTCAAGCCCTGCGTCGGGCTCTGTGCTGACGGCTCGGAGCCTGGAGCCTGCTTCGGATTCTGCGTCTCCCTCTTTCTGCCTCTCTCCTGCTCTCCCCCTCACACATGCTCCCTCTCTCTCTCTCTCTCTCAAAATACATAAACATAAAAAATTTTTAAAAATTAAAATCTTTGATGGGGCGCCTGGGTGGCGCAGTCGGTTAAGCCTCCGACTTCAGCCAGGTCACGATCTCGCGGTCCGTGGGTTCGAGCCCCGCGTCAGGCTCTGGGCTGATGGCTCAGAGCCTGGAGCCTGTTTCTGATTCTGTGTCTCCCTCTCTCTCTGCCCCTCCCCCGTTCATGCTCTGTCTCTCTCTGTCCCAAAAATAAATAAACGTTGAAAAAAAAATAAAAAAAATGTTAAAAAATTAAAATCTTTGAAATAAATAAAATTACATTTAAAAAAATTAGGCAGCACCTGGCCAGTTCAGCCAGTGGAGCATGTGATTCTTGATTTCGAGGTTGTGCGATTGAGCTCGAGCCCCACATTGGGTCTAGAGATTGCTTTAAATAAATAAGTAAACTTGAAAAAATAGAAAATAAATGAATAAACAAAAACTAGCATGTTTTAATAGAAGTAAAGATAACCTTTATTACCTGTAATAAAATACGTACATTTAATTATACAGATGGTGGATTTTAAAAACATTTTTTTTTCAACGTTTATTTATTTTTGGGACAGAGAGGCAGAGCACGAATGGGCGAGGGGCAGAGAGAGAGGGAGACACGGAATCGGAAACAGGCTCCGAGCCATCAGCCCAGAGCCCGACGCAGGGCTCGAACTCACGGACCGCGAGATCGTGACCTGGCTGAAGCCGGACGCTTAACCGACTGCGCCACCCAGGCGCCCCTACAGATAGTGGATTTTTACGTACATGAGATGTTATGGATCAAATTGTGTCCCTGCAAAAGATACGTTCAAGTACTTATCCTTGGGACCTATGAATCTGATCCTATTTGGAAATGGGGGTCTTTGTAGATGTAATCAAATTAAGATGACATCATTAGGGTGAGCTGTAGTCCAATACAACTGGTGTCTTTATAAGAGGAGGGAAGGGGCGCCTGGGTGGCGCAGTCGGTTAAGCGTCCGACTTCAGCCAGGTCAAGATCTCACGGTCCGTGAGTTCGAGCCCCGCGTCGGGCTCTGGGCTGATGGCTCAGAGCCTGGAGCCTGTTTCTGATTCTGTGTCTCCCTCTCTCTCTGCCCCTCCCCCGTTCATGCTCTGTCTCTCTCTGTCCCAAAAATAAATAAACGTTGAAAAAAAATTAAAAAAAAAAAAGAGAAAATATTTACATTTTTAAAAGTTTATTTATTTATTTTTGAGAGAGAGAGCGCACAAGTGGGGAAGGGGTAGAGAGGGAGAGACAGAATCCACAGCAGGCTCCAGGCTCTGAGCTGTCAGCACAGAGCCCGATGCAGGCTCAAACTTACAAACCATGAGATCATGACCTGAGCTGAAGTTGGATGCTTGACTGACTGAGCCACCCAGGTGCCCCCAATGTTTACTTATTCTTGAGAGAGAGAGAGACAGAGACAGAGACAGAGCGCAAGCCAGGGAGGGGCAGAGAGAGAGAGGGAGACACAGAATCCAAAGCAGGCTCCAGGCTCTGAGCCATCAGCACAGAGCCCGACGCAGGGCTCAAACTCACAAACCGTGAGATCATGACCTGAGCGAAAGTTGGATGCTTAACTGACGGAGCCACCCAGGTGCCCCTTAATCTCTATGCCCAATGTGGGGCTCAAACTTATAACCATGAGATCAAGAGTTGCAGAGGCACCTGGGTGGCTCAGTAGGTTAAACATCCGATTCTTGATTTCCGCTCGGGTCATGATCTCAGGTCGGTGAGTTTGAGCCCCACATGGGGCTCCAGGCTGACAGTGTGGAGCTTGCTTGGGAATCTCCCTCTCCCTCTCTGTCTGCCCCTCCTCTGCTCACTCACTATCT